CTGCTCATCGCGCTCATCTTGTCCCAGGAGCAGGCGCTACAGGGTGAGATCGCGGCGCTGCGGGCCCAGCTCTCTGAGAGGGAGGATGCTCTGCAGAGCACGGCCAAGCGGCTGCGCAGCACAGCCCAGCTCAAGGACAGCATGGAGCAGTTCATTGTGAGCCAGCGTATGTGGCCTGGGTGGCATCCTGGTGCGGGGTGGCATGGCCAAGCTGCCCTGGTCCCTGTGTGCCTGGGGTGGCTCCACAGCACAGACACCTCACTGACCCCATCTCTCTCTCTCCCCCTTGCAGTGACCAGGACCCACAATGTGCTGCGCAAGGCCAGGACGAACCTGGAGGTGAGTTTGCCCTGGCAGTCAGCACGGGATAGGGGCAAGTGGCCCTGCCCTGGTGAGCCCTGATGCCCTGGGGATGGGCACAGATGGCAGATACCCTGTGCTCTGCCGGCAGAGTGGTGGCTGACAGGAGGTGCTGAGGGGCCAGCTGGGTGCAGCGTGTGTGTGTGGGCACACAGGCACCCATTTTCTTTGGCTGTCCCCAACCTCCGTGTCCCTAGGGCACAGCAGTCTTCTGGTGCAGGCCTGTCCTGGCAGTGCTCCCCCTTATTGCCACGCATGCTCTCTCGCCAGGTGAAGGCCCAGCAGGCCCTGCCCGTCGCGTGAGCTCCAGGCAGGGCAGGGAGTGATGCCCCTGGCTGCGGAACAGCCTGCTGGCTGCTGAGCCGTGCCACGCTGGAGGGCTGGAGCGGACCCTGTCCCTGCTACTCCAAGGACTACTGGGGTGGACAGGGGTCTCGGGTGCCCAGTGCTACACAGTTAGTGGGTTTGGGCTGCTGTGGTGGTCGCGTGCCCTCCACCTGCCTTTGCTTGGTGGCGGCAGGCTTTGCCTGCCCCATGCTTCAGCGCTTGCCCCCATCCACCCACGGTGCTTAGAGTGGGGCGTCACAGCCCTCACACCCTGGGACTTGGTCCCATTTGTAACCCTGCTGCGCACCCATCCCTCTGCTCGTGGATGTATGTAAATGTATATAGATAGAGGTATCGGAGCTGCGTTTTGGGGGCTCCCCGGGCATGTCGGGGCCCCAACGCGGGAGGAAGATGTAAGAAATGCCATGTTCTGTTCAGTGGCTGGAGAGTCCCCAATAAAGGTTTCCTTTGGGTTGCGGTGTTTCTCGCACGCCCGTCTCTGCAGCCCTGCTCCCCCCTCCCCAAGCTACCTGCAGCGCAGGGTGCCATAGGCACCGGCTGGCCCCATCGGGGTGGCTCTGAGCCCCACCCCAGCACCCCAAGGGCAGCTCTGCACCCCACCAGGTGCTCCCTTCCCTCCCCTCACTGCTCCAGAGCCCCCCGCAAATACCAGGCCAGCAGCACCGAGAACAATAAATACTGTAATAAATAGAGAAAACCCTGTCACATGGCACTGCTCCGGCAGCAGGCGGTGTAGCCGGGGTCCTGGGGTACCTGCCCTGCTCCGCTCTCCCCAGGCCCCCTCCAGCGTGGGTGTGCGCAGGTGCCCCTCTGGCTGCGATGGTCAGCCGTGCCCCACAGAAGCACTCCATGTTGGGGATGGGGCAGGCATTCAGTCCTTGACAGTGCTGTCCCGGCGGCAGGTAAGCACGGCTGCGTCCAGCTATACTCTCCCTCCCGCTGGCTCGATGCTGAACCTGGCAGAGGGCTGGGGCTGCAGCCAGAGCCGAGCACCCTCCTCGAAGCTGGAGAGCACAAGGAGGGGGGCAGCCCCACACTCAGGGCTGCGGGACAGGGGGCAGGTGGCAGGCTGGGGTGTCCCAGATCCCCTAGGGATCAAGGTGGCCTTGGAGGCTCATCACCAGGATAACGCAGCAGTCTTCAGCAGATAGAACACGTTCCTGGAGGCCTGGGCTGAGGGCAGTGCCAGGACCACCTCAGGGCCCTTGCAGGCTGGAGAAGACGGGTAGGGGGAAGCCCCTTCCGTGTCAGGTGCAAGGAAAGGCTATTCTGATGAGCAGCAAACAAAGTGGCCCCCAGACTCACAGAAGCCAAGGGGAGCTGTAGGTGGGCAGAAACCAAGGGTTAAATCAAACCACACCAGTAGATGGGACAGTGTCACAGGCCCCAGCGGCCTTGGGCTCATTGCCGAAGCCTGTGTCCCTGCCAGGTTCGAGGCTGGAGCCAGTGGCCAGTTCTCACACAGTCCTGTGGCCCAGTGTGTGCAGACAAAGCGGCGTTTCGTGTCCTGCATGGGGGGTGGGCGAGGCCCCGGCTCAGATGGGCTTGTACAGCAGCGTGGTGACGTACTTCTTCTTGTAGCGATGCGTGGCACTGAGCACCATCACGCCGTCCTACCAGAGGCACAGCATCAGTGGGAGCAGGTGGGAGAGCTCAGCGCAGCCTGGCTGCACCGACCCAGGAGCGGAGCACCCCCAAGGCAGCCGTCGGGAAGAGGGCTCTGTGGGCTTGGGGAGCAGCCCAAGCCCGTCCCTGCTGTCCCGAGCCTCACAGCCAGCGAGACATGTCCAACATCCATGACAGGGAGCCAGGGTAGAGTGAGGGAAGGGTCTGGTATGCAACAGGAGAGCCCAGGGCTGCCCAGCTCCACCATGCTGTGGGGAGGCAGCTACAGGGAACTGGGGGCTGTGAGGAGACCATAACCTACACTCCTGCGCATGCCACCAGGCAGCCAAGCTGTCCTCATGTGTGTCCTCCCATCCCTGCACCACCGTTTCCACCCCCCGGCTATCCCGGTTCTGCTCCCTGCAGGCGCTGCAGGCTCCTGGGAGCCACAGCAGCTCGCCTTCCCCCACAGCGACCTCGTGGGACCTGCCCTTACCTTGATGGAGAGCGCATAGAGGTGATTGAGCATGACGTGGTTGGGTTCGGGCAGCAGCGCTGGGTCACACTAAGAGAAGAGGAGGAGTGTCACAGGGGAACAGCAGAGCCCTGACCCCCCAGCCCCAGCCATCACAGGGAGCTGCCATCTCAGGCAATCTGAGCTGCTGGTGTCTCTGGCTGTTCTGAACAGGAAGAGATCTCAGCTAAGCACCAGGTAGAGCAAGGGGCCAAACCAGGGTGGTTAATGTGAAAAGTGATGCTTTTCCCAGTAAATGGCAAGGTCCAGGCACCAGCCAAGGGGAGACCAGGCTCCCTGCAGACAGGACTCCCCTTCCAACCCCAGTGTGGCTCTCTGTGTGCAGGCACTATGCTGGTACCCACCGAGATATTGGTGTCCTTGTTGAGGATGACCTGGAGGAGGTGAGGCGGGAGGATGGGTGGGGATTTGAAGCGCTCCTCGGGCCGGTATACGTACATCTCTTGGCTGTAAGGACCAGGTGGTGAGCTTGATAAGTCTAAAGAGAAGAGACGGAAGGAGACATGAAATGCTAAAGCATGACTGGCAAGGACAGAGCAGCTCCCAAGACGCTGAGAAGGACCCAGCAGGGTCTTTCAGGAACAAACATCTTCATGAGCCATGGCCATGTACCCTACTGCAACAGCTCAGCCTTTTCACAGCAGAATAAGCAGCCAGGCGAGCCTTGGGCATTTCCAAGCAGGGCTGTAAGCTGGTATGTGCACTGACCCAACACAAGCACCCTGTGGTATCCACCCCAAGACCCCTGCGCATGGCTCTCAGCACAGCTGACTTGCCCCAGAGCTGTACCCTTTGCAGGGGCACAGCAAGCAGCACGCCTGCACGCCCTTGGTGCTGCAGGTCGGCCTGACGAGGAGGTCCCGGAAAGGGCAAATGGGAAGTCCAGACTGAGCAGCTGCTCAGCCCATGTGAGGGACCATGGAAGCTTGTGGTCACTGGAAGCTGGACTGGTTGTATCTCCCAGCCACATCTGACCTGATTGTTTTAGAACAGCCAGCACCTGGAAGGGCTCCACCTCCCTGGAGCTTTTGCTGCTTGCCAGCTTCTTTCCAACAAAGCATCTCCTGCCCAGGCTGGGCAAGGATGTGGAGCTGAGGCTATATCTGAAACAGGGTTTGTACTAGGGACAGCAGGCCGCACTCAGAGCGCCCTGGACCGAAACACGACTGAGCTATCTGCCAGCATTATACACCAAGCCAGCACTGCTGGTGTCCACATGGTAACCTAACCTGCTGCTGTAACACAAGTGGAGAGGGAGGTTTCTGATGTGCTAGCACTAGTACAAATTACCTTGGCGTGAAAACGAAGAGGGGCTGCTGAAAATAACCTGGATCCTGCTCTCACCTAGCTTGCACCCCAGATCAGATGACTTACTCACAGTTGAGCAGGCAGAAAGAGTGATGTTCCTGGCGTTCACCAGTCTGAAATGGCTGCCTTGGCTGCGCACAGGCACTGACCCTGCTCTGGGACGGTGCTAGCACAGAACAAGTTACACCAGCACAGCCCCTCCATGGAGATGAGGCCTCAGCTGTGGGCTGCTGAGGACACGCTACACACTACTCTTCCCGGGTGCAGGCCCACACCTCTGCTCAGGGGGTCTGTTCACCCCCAGAGCAGCGAGCCTCAGAGCAGAGGAGGTGGAAAATAGCACATGCAAAGCTGTAATGCCACAAAAACTCACCCCGACCTGAGGTTTCTGAGCTCTCCAGGGAATCCACCTTCAAAGCATCGAACACCTCAAAGTCAGACTTTTTGACGTGAATCAGGTTGTTAATCGTCCCCATCTGGCTGGTGACCACAGGCTGGAGAGAACAGAGGTAAGAGTCTTCCTACGTTCACCTCCCATCAAAGCACACATGATGATTCCCAGATCCTCCCAGCCCAAGCTGTCTTTGCTGCGCCATTAACACACAGGTGGCCAGTGTCCAGCTCTGCTCTATGCTTGCAGATCTCTGCTGTTTACCCTGGGAGGATTTCCCAGGCTGCTATCTTCATCCTCCATCCTGCTACATGCCGATGGGTAAGTGTCCTCTCCTTCCCATGCTGCTACCGCGTGATTCAGTTTGGAGGAGAACCTGCAAGTAAGTGCTGACCCCATGGCCCATCTTCCTATGTAGCCAATTCTGAGTGGGACTTAAAGGCTTTCTGGTGTTTCCCTGCCCTTCAGTACCTCCCTGACACTGCCCCATACAGCACATCTAAGCCCAGAGGAACCAGTCTCTGAAAGGACTCATGGGATGGAGGTGCCCCTTTTGTTTTGGCAGATACCCTCTGCTCTTCCTGTTCCCTCTCTGCTGCAGTTACATCATGTCTAGTCCCCTGAAGAAGACAAGATCTGCAAGGGTAAAGGTTTGAGCGTTACCTCAGATGGGTCATGGACCCACTGGCCGTCCACAAAAAATTTGTATTGGTGCTCTCCTTCTGGGAGGTCCAGGATAGCAACAAAGTCATTGTGGCTACGCAGAGAGAACAGACATGCAACAGCATTACCCCATTGATGCTCCGGATGCTGCTTTTCCATGGGGTCCCAGAAAACAGCGCTTTTTCACGTGCTGCCCAGCCCCTCCACCCCAACACCTTCATGCAGGGTTAGGCTTGCTCATCATCAGTGATCTGAGGCACAGACACAAGAGGCGCAAGTGTTCTGAACACTAGCGTGGCTCAAACTCCTAGGAGTCCAGCCGCAACAAGCACAGGAGGCAGGCCCGCTTGCAGACCTGCCCTGCGTGCCCAGGGAAAATCGGTGTGGCAGACACCCTGTGCAAGACACACTGGAGAGGATGTATGGACAACACATCTAACCCCACACCAGCATTGCAAGATGGGGGCAGCAAGTGCAGCAGCTCTGTTAAGCCTGCAATTGAGATAAACCTATTCCAGATTTTCGGAATTATGCCCAGAGTCCTACATACTGTTTCCACAGAAATCACAGATGTGTTGTGGAATAGTGAGAACATCATTAGGGCAGGAAGACACGTGAGGACAAATAACCCCTGCTGGCAACAACACAAGTAGGCATGGAGTAAGGCCACAGCCGAGGGAAGAGCTGACAGCTTCCAGGGGACTGCTGCATACCTGGGCAGTGCTCTGCTGCCAGGACTAGGTGCTGCGTGACATCCAGCTGGGCAAGAAAGTGATCCATCCTGTCCTGTCCCTCTGTTCCACAACTTCCCACCACCACGCAGCACCACCCAAGGAAGAAGCTGACTACGTATTTGTGCTCTGACCCCCCAACTTGGGTGAACTGAGAAAAGCCAGGTGAGCAAAGCGAACAGCAACCAGCACAGAGAAGGGAAAACACTCCCTGCAATGGAGCGTAGGAGAATATAGAGTGACCTGAGGGACTGGCTACCTCTTGATGAGCGGGATCTTGGTGCTCCAGTTGTTGAAAGATCCGGAGATGAAGACCTCTTTGCCTCCATCGGCCCAGCGGATGACAGTGGGACGAGCCTGTTGGGATGGTTTCACTGACTCCTCCAGATCTGGCTGCCATGACACAAACTCCTTGTCCCCAGGAATCTGAGCAAAGAAAACCAGAGCCTGACTGAGACACAGAGACAACCAGGACCACATTTACCTCCCCTTACCAGCCCACCTGCACATCCCAGAGCATTGCAGAGCTCCTCCAGCCTCCCAGCTCTCCACAGACCCCTCACGTGGCTGGGAGCACAGCCCCGCACAGCCAGTGAGCTGAAGCCCCAGCCAGGGCCCCGGAGGGCAGGACAGGGAAAGCAGTGGCCAGCCCCTACCTTGGAGTCGTGGGAGCTGAAAACACTGGGGTCATCGGTGCTGCCCACCATGATCTTGTGCGGGTGCTCCTTGGCGTGGTGGGAGGCACTGGAACCATCCGAGCGGTGGGACTTGGAGCCATGGCGCTCCCCAGACACTCGCTCGCTGGTAGTGTTCCCCATGACAGCTCAGCAGCCCCTGTGAGAGAGAGAGGACTGCAGTGTGCCTGTGCCCACGGGCTCCGGCCGTGAGGAGAGGAGCGAAGGCTCTGTTTCCCAATGCTCTTTGCCAGGGTAGACTGACAGCAATCCTAAAAAAGGCCCAAAGTTCATTCCCATTGCCAAGTTTGGGAGCTGAAGGAGAATTTAACAAACAAGACAGCTTGACCTAATTATAGCCATATCCTTATGAACCATCACTCTAGTTAAGCTGGTAATTGTTACACTCCAAAACCAATACTAGTTACACTGCGTCCCACACAAGCCCTCAGCAGCCGGCATAGTAGAGGGGCTGATAGGAAAAATAAAGCCAACCTTTATTGGCAAATCAATTGCTTGGCATTAACAGAGCCTCTTTCGCAGTCCTGCAGTCAGGCTCTACAGACGAATCCCCTACACCCACCAAGAAAACAGCCGGAGACTGAAAATAGCAGCTGTTACAACAAGTCTCCAACAGCTCACAGGCACAAGAGCAGAGCCTTGCGCCTGGCAAAGGCGACAGGAGTGTTTAAAATGTCCAAGTGGAATTGCCTGAGCTGGAGCTTGGCCAAGGCGTGGGGCTAATGCCGTGATGTCTGCAAAAAGCTCAGCTCTTGACGGCATTTACTTACAGTTCACCAGGCAAGCCACCATGTCAGCTGCGCCACAGTGCAGTGAAGAGGTTCGCTTGTTGTGACCCTAACCAGTGGCACTACGCTGAGCGCTCTGGCGTCCGCCCGGCCATCCAGAGGCACGCGACGAGGGAAGGGCAACCCCAGCCGCCCCAGTGCCACTCTGCAGCTGGAGATGGGCTGTCATCCCCGATCTCACCCAGCTGAGAGAAGGCAAAGCAGAAGAACTGGCTGTACAGCGTCAGGCCACAAACAACTACACACCTCTTGGGACAAACAACAAAGCCATGGCAAGCTACATGGGACTTTTCAGGCCTTACCCCGTTTCCAGCAGCTGAAATGGATCGGGGTTCTTGCCACCTTCCCAGGCTTATTTTGCAGCTTTCAGCTTACCACGCTGATCATGGGCTCTGCACGGCAAGGCAAGAGGACAGCCAGCCTTGCTCCATGCGCTTAGTTGCGACATTTGGGGATTTGTTTAGAAGATCAAGTTATATGAAGGGTGCCAGGCAAGGCTGCCAGCCAAAGCCAGGCTTTAGAACATTACAGAGGAATTACTAAAGTATTTCTTAAATCCTGAGGGCTAAAAGGCAGCTCAAGAGGACAGCTAACCTGTACTCATGCCCCCTCTCAGTGAGGATCCAGGTCAGATGAGCTGCACCACTTGCTCTGACATCTTCCCCTTCTGCCCTGGAGGAGGCTCAGCCGGCTCTCCGCAAAACCTGCCCCTGTGCCACTAGACCTGCTGTTGAGGAGCTTCTTCCCCAGTATCTTTGCTAAGGCTCCCTTACTTCTCATCTACGGGGAGGAAAGTAGGAAAGGCCAAACATCCTCTTGTACCAAGACAGACCTGAGAGATACGTTCAGGTGTTAACACATGTGAAAGCTTCCCTTTCTCTTCTCTAAAAGGAATCCAGTCCCTCTGGCTGTCCCTTACAGGTCACGCTCTCCAAACGTTTCCTGAGGCTTCTCCCAAGCGGTGGCTCCTTCTGGCATGTACCATCCGAAACCCCATGCAGACAAGACCACCCTACCTCCTGTATCGTGCATGCAAGCACCCTGCTGTGCCAGGACAGCGAGCTCTTTGAGCATAGCCTGCGGTACTTGGTTTTACTGAATTAACTTCTGCAGCTCAAACCCTCCTGCGTTCAGACAAGCCCTTGTAGTACAGGCATGCTCTGATGGTGTGACACAAGTACATCCAAGGCACTAATGAAAACGCTGCCCATACCAAAGCCCAAGTAAACCTCCACAGTGTCTCAGCACATCCACTCCCAGTTTGACAGCAAGCCGCTGCCAGCGGCAGTCCGCAGTAAGGTGGGTGCCTGCCAGCCAGATCACAAGGCCCCTTCAGTTTCACCCAGCCCCACCTCCCCACTTTGCTTCTGAAAATGACACGCAAAATACACCAGTTCCCCCTGAAATGTGCCACGCTTGCTTCCGGCTTGCTGCCTCCCCCCCCCAGCCAGTGACCTGCACCGGGAAACACTGGCAGCAGCCTGAGACGGTTTATTTTGGAGGGATGGGGTCTCTGTTCAGCACCCTCAGTTGCCCACAGCCTCTCAGCTGACACCTCCTGGTGCTGGGATTACCCAGGGAAGCCTGATTCACCTGGACTCTCCCACCTCCCTCTTTCAGAGAAGGGAACCAGAGCTCAGCCGTGAGGTTGCCGTAACGTTAAGGGGATGAGCTGGGAAACCGGGGAAAGCCTCTCTCCCCCTGACTCGCGCCAAGCAGGCACGGCTGGGACAAGGGCTTTGCAAAGCCCACGGGGCGGTGGCGGTGGCAGGGCTGTCGCGGCACACTTGGCCTACGGCCGCCCGCTCCCCCTCCCTGCCAGGTCACGGTGA